GGTTTATCTTCTTAACTTTGAATAGATGTTGATTACCTGAATACTGTACCTTTGTTGTCTGGGTAGTACACTGTTGAATTTATAAATGTGCTCTTACACACAGATGAATACAGAAAAATAGATGAGAACAAAAAAATGATTTAATGAATAACTGATATTTTCTCTCTTTCTTTGCCATCCTGAAGACCTCTCACTAAAAGTCCATGTTCTCCTGGATCCATGTCACATGCTCGAGCTTCTTCAGAATGACTTTTCAACAGTTGAAGTTCTGGTGAGAGAAGATGGCCAGCAGATAAGACGGCAGTACATGAAGGAGCTCCACAGGCTTCAGGAGGAGGAGGAGGGTTTGCACCTTGGAAGACTGTATTCATGCTGTTCAAATAAAACTAGATCTCCTCCAAACAACTTGCAATCAAACCATTTTCTTCCCATTTTAAAACCCTTTGTCCAGTTTAGATGGGAGAAGTTGATATTATGTGATATTGATCAGGGAAGACTACATTTCTAAATCATTTTTAACTGTGTTTTTAGTTTTTTTAGTTATTGATCTTATTTACTCTCCATGTATCTTGATTTAAGAATGGGGCTGTGTTTAAGGGCATATTTTTGCAATGACTCTGTTCCATCCCACTTTCAGAAATGAACTACATTAGTATTTATCAAAAGAATAAGAAGTTGTGTAAAAGTAGACTTCCTTCCCTAAGCTATTGAGTTGAGCATTAATGCACATTTTAGTCTTGTCATTTCAAATCTGAAATGTATACTCATAAGTAGACATAAAGGAGTGCATTTATATAGAAATATTTATTTAATCTGAAAAACAACATTAAAAAAAATCTGTTTTTACAGCAGAGATGAACATGTTTACAGCTTGGTACAAAACAAACAAATAGGTGTGATTAGCTCATGTCTCGATGGACACACACTGTACGGGGGGGTGAATGTTTTGATGACTCATCAGTTTTGATTTGATGAAGAATAAGAGTTATTCACAATAAGGCTTGTAGCTGACCAGCTTGACAGGCGGGCGCGGTGTAACGGTTTGTCAAGAGGCTTAAAACCCGTCTCAGCTCCAGCTCTCAGTCTGTGAATGTCATCACTCAGGCCATCCGGGGGAGACCTCCCCTCACAGCGAGCTGTTGAAGAGAAGCAACTGAAGTCCACCCCAGAAGAACCAACAAATACAGATGTTGTTGAGGCTCAGGTTTCTCTCTGGGCACTAATCCACCAAGTCCAATAATCCACACTGTGTCTATAGGAGAAATACAAAGGTGTTCAATTAATGCCTCAGACAAGACAAAATGTACAGTTAACTACATGTGACAGCTCAGGCTGTTTTTTGTTATGAGCCACATCTGCAGGAAAAATATTGATAGCTGCAACTCCTAATAATAGATGCCAGTCTTAAACACTATTACTGCCAGCTAAAAAATAGAACGATAAAAGATGAAACAAAGACTTTAAGTACTAAAAAGTTAGAAACGAACAGGAGCAACGGTAGCTTGCGCGGTTGACGCATGCGCACTCAGCTATATAAGAAAGCACTAAGAGAAATGCTTTTTTTTTTGATTGTTAGTAAAATAGTAGAAGTAAGTCCTGATAAGTGAAGGGATGAAAATCCTTTGCCTTTTAAGCTTTCACTTGTGTGTCTGCACTTCATGTCAGCTGATCAGAGAAGTTGAGTCAAAAGAAACTCATGACTGTGGAGCAGTGGTGATAGGCGATGCTCTGTCTATGCACTGGTTAAGACTGACCTGACTGACCACAGAATCTGGGGTTGTTATGAGCTGTTAGGGTTCTGGAATGACGAGTCAAAGGACCAAAGGACCAGAGGACAGAATGTTTACTTTGGAATACATGGAAACATGTCAGTTTATATGTCGCCATGGGAACAAACAAGCAGGAAATCCTATTATGGTTTCATTTACATAACACAACAAACAAAGTCGTCGTTTCATGAGTAAATAGTTCAGTCCTGTTTCTACAGTCAATACACAAATGTACTAAATCAGTTCCTGATACCCCAATATAGCAACAATGTTCATCAGTGCTCTGAAAACTCCACCAACTGTAGCATCCTGGCTTCATTTTGTTCATGAAATAAATAAACAAGTCTGCTTGTAGTTGTGTTGAAATATTCATAAATGATGTAAGCAGTTACTTTAATTGCAAATAAGAAAAGTTTTATGATTGATGACGAATCAGGTTACCGTGGGAATTGGATAGCACCAAGACCAATCGAAGAGTCGTTCTCCTCTTAGCAGAAAATGTATAAAAAGAAGTGAAGCAGCAAAAATGAAGCCAAAGAGAGAAATGATAACAGAACAAATATACACACAATTGAAGTGTTTCTATCCATATACCATTTAGTTATACACACTAAAGGCTATAATGCATATCTATTGTTTCTTCTAATAATATGTTGAGTAAATCCAGAATGCCAGATGACATCTACAGGTGTTGTCATTCAGTTTGTGATCCAAGGCTGCAGCAGTTTTGTGCCCAGTGGCCTCTGCACTCTTAATTAATCCTGTGCATGATCAGGTGTCATTGAGATTTTCTTTATTTTGTATTCTGACTGCAGGATTCTTATTAAGGGTTAAAGGTCTTCAGTGAAATCAACCTGGACCTGATTTGACTGTGGTCATTCTGCATCAGGATCTGCTGAACTCCTTTTCTTTACCAAAGAGACTTTAGACACTCCACACAAAATAACACAAGTAGATGAAAGTCTTTCTCACTCTCCATCAGTTTATTTATTACAAGGTTACACATGAGCTGTCTGAAGAACTTGTGCTACCCAACACAGAGGCCTCCAAGGAAACAGAGTGACAGAAAGAAGAGAAGATATCAGGAGAGAAGGATGCTTACACTGTAACTGTTTCATATAAACCCTTTCAATTCAAACGTCATTTTACTGGTTCGTATGTCAGCAACAAAACATCAATTTAAAAAAAGTAGAGACAGATTTCTGTCAATAGAATTGTCTTATATCCCTTTATAACAGCAGTTATACATCTGTTAGTCAATACATACTTATGAATACACATTAGTGATGTGAATTTGTATTCCTTTGGATCACTTTTACCATTGCACAGGACTAGCATTCATCTCCAGTGTGAATCATCATTTGAGTGGTCAGATGCACTTTTTGCTTAAATATTTTCCCACATTCAGAGCAGCTGAAGGGTTTCTCTTCTGTATGACCTCACGTGTGTGGCCAGAATTCCACTTAAGGTAAATTGCACAGGATTAGCATTTCTCTCCAGTGTGATTCATCATGTGACTGGTCAGATTTCCTTTACGACTAAACCTTTCACCACAATCAGAGCATCTGAAGGGTTTCTCTCCTGTATGCACCAACATGTGTCTGGTCAGACTTCCTTGCAGGTAAAATCTTGTATCACACTCAAGGCAGGTGAAGAGTTTATCTCCCGTGTGATTTGCCATGTGATATGTCAAACTAGACTCACAGGTAAATCTTTTCTCACACTCAAGGCAGCTGAAAGGTTTCTCTTCTGTGTGAACTAACATGTTTGTGGACAGACTTCCTGTTAGAGTAAAACTGTCACAGCAAACAGAGTTGCTGACGCGTTTCTTCCCTGTGTGAACTACCATGTGTCGGGTCAGATTCCCCTTCCTTTTAAATTGTTTTCCACATTGAGAGCAGCTGAAGGGTTTTTCTCCTGTATGCACGTGTGTCGTCAGATCTATTCGTTTGCTAAAACTTTCACCACACTCAGAGCATCTAAAGGATTTCTCTCTGTGAATTGCCATGTGATTTGACAGACTAGACTCATGGGTAAATCTTTTCTCACACTGAGAGCAGCTGTAGCATTTCACTCCAGTGTGAATCGTCATGTGATTTGTCAGATTTTTCTTATTTCTAAACCTTTTCTCACACTTAGAGCAGCTGAAGAGTTTCTCACCTGGGTGATTTGCCATGTGATTTGTCAAACTAGACTTACGGGTAAATCTTTTCTCACACCAAGAGCAGCTGTAGCGTCTCTCTTCAGTGTGAATCATCATGTGACTGTTCAGATTTCTCTTAGTACTAAACCTTTTCTCACACTCTGAGCAGCTGAAAGGTTTCTCTACTAAGTGAACTAGCATGTGTGAGGCCAGGATTCCTTTTTGTTTAAATGCTTTACAGCAAATAGAACAACTGAAAGGTTTCTCCCCTGTGTGATTTGCCATGTGATATGTCAAACTAGACTTATGGGTAAACCTTTTCTCACACTGAGAACAGCTGTAGCCTTTCTCTCTGTGAGCCATCATGTGTTGGGTCAGACTTATCTTAGTACTAAACCTTTTACCACACTCAGAGCAGTTGAAGGGTTTCTCATCTGTGTGAGTTGTCATGTGATATGTCAAACCAGTCCTGTAAGTAAATCTTTTCTCACACTGAGAACAGCTGTAACGTTTCTCTCCAGTGTGAATCGTCATGTGAATGGTCAGATTGCTCTTCAATCTAAACCTTTTACCACACTCAGAGCAGCTGAAGGGTTTCTCCCCTGTGTGAATTGCCATGTGATCTGTCAAACTAGACTTATGAGTAAACCTTTTCTCACACTGAGAACAGCTGTAGCGTTTCTCTCTGTGAATCATCATGTGATTGGTCAGATATCTGTTAATACTAAACCTTTTACCACACTCAGAGCAGTTAAAGGGTTTCTCCCTTTTGTGACATGTCAAACTAGACTTATTGGCAAATCCTTTCTCATATTGAGAGCAGCTGTAGTCTTCCTCTCCACTGTGAATCATCATGTGACTGGTCACATTACTCTTAGAACTAAACCTTTTACCACACTTGGAGCAGCTGAAGGGTTTTTCTCCCATATGAGTAATCATGTGGCTAGTCAGCTTTCGTTGCAGGTAAAACATTTTACCACACTCAGAGCAGGGTTTCTCCCTTCTGTGATTTGCCATGTGATATGTCAAATTAGACTTAAAATTGAATCTTTTACCACACTCAGAGCATTTGAAGGGTTTCTCTCCTGTGTGAACAAACATGTGTTGGGTTAGGTATCCTTTTTCTTGAAATGCTTTACCGCAAATAGAGCAGCTGAAGGGTTTCTCCCCAGTGTGAATTTTATCGTGTATCTTCAGAGCCCCCTTTTCTCTAAATCGTTTTCCACATTGAGAGCAACTGAATGGTTTCTCTCCAGTGTGAATCTTCATGTGTGTGGTCAGATGCCCTTTTTGGTTAAATCTTTTACCGCACTGAGAGCAACTGAAGGGTTTCTGTCCAGTGTGAATCATCATGTGAATGGTCAGATGCCCTTTTTGGTTAAATCTTTTACCGCAATCCAAGCAACTATGTGGTCTCTTACCAGTCTTTAGTTTCTTATTTTTCAAGTTTAATTCTGACAGATCTTCTCTTGTCTCTCTCCAATCATCACTGTCATCAGTCTCAGGTTCATCAGATTCTTCAGTCTCGACCTCAATCTCTGGTTGTAAAGGTCTCTCTGGATCTGAGTCTCTCTCTGGTTCTGCTCCTCCACAGTCCTCTCCATCAACTCCTGTTTCCATCTGTTCAGTTTGTCTCTGATGAAGCTGTGAGGACTGAGGTTTCTCTTCATCTTCACTCTTCACAGAGACAGGAGTGAAGGGGAACTTGGTGGTATCAGCCTCCTCCAGTCCTTGAAGCTGTTCTTCCTCCTGACTGATCCACAGTTCCTCATGTTCTTCTTTAATGTGTTGGGGCTTAGTGTCCTCCTGGTCCAGAATGTGGCTCCACTCCTGCTGCTCAGGTGGAAGCACTTCTTTACTCACCAATAGCTGCTGGACATCTGCAGGACACAGTAAACAAACATTAACGGTACTGCTTTTTTAATATTAATAAGGGCTGTCAAAGTATTACATTTTTAATGGCTGAAAAGTATGGAGTTAGATCAGTCTCAATATTCACAAATGCACACACAAATATATTTCATTCTATATAAATGTAAAAGAAATCCACAAATAAAAAAATAAGATTCGCAAATCTATTTCTAATTTTGTATATATGTAATAGAAATCAACAAATATATAAAGTGTTCAGTCTGCATTTACAAACTGTTTGTCATTTGTGAACCTCACTGCATTTGTGTGTGGGATTTTTGAGACTCCCCTGCCTTGGTTAGATCATAGACTGTAAATATTACGGGTTAGATTCACATATGCATTTTTTTCAGCAGGGAAATGTCTGTAGCCAATCAGATGTCTCCTTCCTATTCAGCCAATCACAGAAGCGTAGGTTCAAGGGTATGATTTAATGTGATCACTGTAGCATTGCATCTGTGCATACAGCGATTAGCCTAGCTATCAGACAATCTGATTAAGTCATCTTTATTCTGACCAGCACAAATAGTCTATGATTGTCGTACTGTATGGAAAGTTGTTTATCGTGGTGGCTAGATTGACTGCGTGTCGTTGGTTTAACTGGTGTTGAATAAACTGGTGATATTCCGGCCGATGTGTTGGGGCCGCGGCTTTTGAAGGACCCATTGTTTACTATCGTTATCATGTTCACAACCAGACCAGGCATCTGCAAAGTCAACTATATTTTCTGTCTGACATTCGTTGGTTTACAGTCTATGGTTTTAACTTACTTTGTGACTCTGCAAACTCTTACCGAGTAGTGTTTGTCTGTTTATAGCTCAGAGCGCGTGTGTGGGTGGTGAAGCGAGTGAGGAGAGGGAGAGCGGATGCGAGTGTGTGTGTTCGATCGGTGTGTGTGTGTGAGTCACGTAGTTGATGCCGGGGATCGGGGCAGTGTCACAGCAGAGAAACGAGTCAGTATCTTAAGTGTATGTGCAGTTTGAGCTCTGTGTGTGTAATAAACGACCTGACTCTCAAGAAACAAGCTGGACTCTCCGTGTCTGCTTACTAGCTGCGGTTCAGTAAAAGCTTTCATTCTTTTTTTTGAGGACCTAGTCTAAAATGTATTTATTTTTTATGAATTTTTAGAGAATATTTGGGGTATGTAAGCAAAAATGTCTGAGTGGTGCAGAGGTGTAAAGAGTACTAATATATTCTACTCAAGTAAAAGTACTGTTACTTTGATGAAATTTTACTTAAGTACAAGTAAAAGTAACAGTTTAAAAATGTACTCAAAGTAAAAGTAACTTGTTTAAAATGTACTTTAAGTAAAAGTTACTTTTTTTAACAACGCATCTCTCGTGTGTCGTGAAAAAAGGACGAGAGGATATTAATCTCAAAGTTTTTTTAATTAAAGGCCAATCTTTACAATGATTTATCTTTTCAGATAAACATTTTCTTTTCTACCCCATTGAAAAAACAAAATATACATAATGAATAAATAACCCAAGGATTATATGTTCAAGTAATCAGCTGTTTTATGAAGGGAAATGTTTAAAGGCTTTATATGTGATTTTTTGATCCAGCAGATGTCACCCTTGAGCACCAGCATGAAACCAAAACAACTCGCGCTGCATTGTTGTGTTAGCATGCTAATGCTAGCGATCTTTATTATGCTCGTATCTTCACACTGCATGTAAATTTACCTGAAATGAGCGTGATCTAGAAACACAGTTAAGCAGTGAGTACAGTATGTTATTCTTCTTTTCTCTAGTCCCTCAATTAAACAACTTTTATACACGAGGGGAGGAGTCAGCCGGCCGTCCCGGCGATGTAAACAAAGTGAAGATAGGACTCTGAAAACATCACAGACAGTGGGACTCGGGTGTTACACCCATTGTAGACAGTCATGACTCACAGAGTTATTTTCAGAGGATATACTTGATTTCTATTTAAGTGTGAAAAATCACATATTAAACCTCCTAAACCTAAGAAGTATTTAAGAAAATACTAAAAGGATCTTTGTCTCAATCATAAAAAGTGTAAAGAGTATTTTAGTGTTTTTAGTTTTATTATTCTGAGGCTGGTTAGTCTCAAATGCAGCCTCAAAGGCTGACTTAGCTGCAACTAAACCTGAGATGAAAGATAATCCATTTATTGTTTTAAAATGAGCCTGTAAGAGTTTAAATGTTAGATGTTTTAGTCTCTGTTTGTTTACCTATTAGCTACTGAAGCTTCTAACTGAGTCTGTTTGGTTTGAAGTATTTATTTTCACACATCTGAGATGTGTTAAGTTGCAGCAGCTTATAACACCCAACTTCCTCATACGTCTTCTTCAAAATAAAAGCACATCACAGAGATGGCAATTAGGGATTTTTATTGTGAAAAACTTTCCGGAACTAAATGTGTTTATCGCTCGGAGCTGCAGCGGTGATTGCTTAAGACAATGAGACATCAGTTTATAAACACCTTCAGCAGGTAGACCCGTTGTAGAAGAGGAGCTTATCCGTGCTGCACTAGCTGAAGTGACACCAAGCCAAGAAAAGTCTCTCTCTCTCTCCCCTTACAATAGAACTGTTCAATAGTAAATAAAAGTAATGGAACATCATTGTTCTTATTATTATAATTATTTTAGGGAAATTGTGTCACCAAGTCAAGTACCAAATTGACCACCATTGGCATAATTGATTTAAATGGAAATATATATTCACGTTTTGTGAATTATTTGTTCAAAATGTAGATGGGTGACGTGACGCTCAGTTTTTTGTGTCCATAAGGTTTAGTTAACTTTTAAAGGCTTAAAATTTAAAAATAAATGCACAAATGACATGCTTTCATTCTTTGTTTTGAGGACCTAGTCTAAAATGTATATTTATTATACATTTTTAGAGAATAATTGGGGTATTTAGGCAAAAATGTCTAAGTGGTGTAACTGTTGAAACTTCATACCAAAGAATTAAACTTGCTTTAAAAAGGTTAAATTTTCATATAACACCCTATGAACTAGTCTGGCATAATCTTACAATAGAACTGTTCAATAGTAAATAAAAGTAATGGAACATCACTGTTCTTATTATTATAATTATTTTAGGGAAATCGTGTCACCCAGTCAAGTACCAAATTGTCAACATGGTGTAACCACCATTGAAGGAGCCATTTTGTTAATATATTCATCATATCATGTGACAAGAAATGATATCACAAAGAAGAACCCCTGATGGTCCTAACTGCTGCACGCCATGTTTAGCAACTCTCTTTAAACCATGAGATAATTTGACATTTTAAGGGCGTGGTCAGGTATGTCAAATGGTATGACCTCAGAAAAACATTAACAATTTATGATAATTCTAAAAACTTGAATTCACTTTGAAAATTAGATTTGAAATGTTCACACCAGGAACTGTGCTAACATAGGTCTCAATAATAATGCCTGTCAAATATGATTTGAAGTGGAAATGTCAAATGGTGTAACCGGTTACACTATTTTACTTTTATGACAAGCCTTTCTGTTAGAGGCCACTTTTGTGAAATATCAGTATTTTTTTTGTGTTGATTAAAGTGGTGATTCATCCACAACCTTATTATCAAAGGTCAAGAACAAAGTGCCCTGGCATTTTGTAAATGTTGAGCTTCAAATTGCATATTCGTGTTCCATTCACTTACATTTATAAAGGTGCACTATGTAGTTTTAGTAGAGAAATGTGAAAGTTGGAGAAATTTACAGATTACTTGGTTTACGTCAATCATAAACCCAAACACAAACTGTCCTCAGAGGAACATTTGGTCCCTGTAACACTGTTTGAAGATAAAATGCTACTGGAGAAGTTATGGTGGTGGGCCCGCAACAGTGACCCCGTAACTCTCCTGGTCGCTTTATATCTCCAAACAGAGTTCCAGGGACCCATTTTTTACTTTGAATAAAGTTTGTGTATTCAGTTCAGAAAATATATCACTTTCACTTCTCCAACTTTCAAATTTCACAACCAAATCTACATAGTGCACCTTTAAAAAGCCCATATTCTGCCCTTTTTGGGGTTCGTATATTTAATCTATGTACCTGCTAAAGTATGTTCACAATAGATAAAGTTCGAAAAAAGTGTCTGTTTTCATGTTCTGCCGCTCCATGCACCTGCTCGCTTCTGACTCTCTCTCTAAGGCTCTGAAGTGTCCACGTTCAGAGTCCCCATGTGTGCCAAGTCTGATCTGATTGGTCGGCCTGTCAGCTCTGCCGTAATTGGTCAGTCGCTCAGCCACTCTGGCTCCGAGGACCGGGGAGCATAAACATTAGCACCTTAGCACTACTGTGCTAGCGCAGGCTACGGCATATCGTGGACGTGCTACAGAAGTTAACGGGCATACAACATGGGCTTGCCACAACGAGCCAATGGGCTTAGATCAGTGATCTCACACTGACAAGACGTCACACTGACAATTTTTTTTCGAGGGGGGCTAGAACCGAGCTTTACATACAGCTAATGCTGCAGCTAACAGGAGGACGTAGGAGAAGCCGCGTTTCGGCAGACTTTGAAAAGTGAAATAAAAGTGAAACCTTCCACTCAGAAATCAACATCAAAATAAATATGAAATTAATTGTTACATGTATGCAAGACAAGAATGTACAACTGAAGAAATGCACAAAACATTCCGAATTGAATGAATGTTGAATAAAACATCATCTGATAAAAATGTCTCTTATCTTTTTATCTCTTTCATGATCTGTGTCACTTTACGATCATCGTTAATGTTCGTGAATGGTCGGATGCGCGAGTCGCTTTAAATGTTGCGGCCGCAACACATACAGTGAAATATGTATAATATATAATATGAAGGCCGATACAAATGAGTGAGGGAATACAGAGGACTCCTTTACAGATCAGTGCGTTAAATCTTTGAGTCTTAATGTTTACTATTAAAGGGTGTGATATTGTTAAAGCCCAGAGCCATATAATCATTCAATTATTATAAATGATGTGCAGACTTTTCATCTTGTACCTTTACTCCAAACTATCAACAACTAAGCAGAAGAGTCCTACATGTTCCAGGCGCTCCAAGTCCTGGACTGGACTACTACACATTTCTGTCTGCACAACAAGTATCCACTTATTAGGAAAATTAACTTTCAGGCATCCTGTCTTCAGTACGAGCCTCCCCTTTATGGTTAGTGAAATATATTTCTCAGCAGGCATAATAATATTTTTGCAGTTCCTACGTTATTTTTAGTTTTTTTTTTAATATTTTAGTGTTTCACAAAATATTTTTACATGTAGAGAACTAGTTTCACAATTATTAAATATTTAAACAGTTTACCTTGAGGGCCACCGTAATGTCTTCATGGTTTACTGAAATTATTTGCAAACCTATCAAGACATTGTTTTATGTGAAATTTAAAACAGGTAAAATCACATTGAATTCAATCTATCTAATCTTTTGCCGTGCTTTTATTTTGATCTACTTTCAGTCCAGTGTCACATGGGTCAGAGCGACTCTCTTCTTCTTTACCGTAAAGGAGCAGATAAATGAGCAGCAAAAATCAAACGCGTGCTGACTTGACAGCAGTGAGTTCCAGGACTCTTTCCATGAACTCTGCATTGTTCACCTTTAAAGTTGAAGCTTCTCGGCCTGTGGTCTGAAGCTGGACTCCGCATTGAACTAAACAGCTTTAGCTATGTTAGCTAGCATAAGTGAGTGTTGCTGTATCTGTGTACCTAGCGTGTCCACTTTTCCAGTTAGCTGTTTTATTGCGTCCAGGACTTCGTTCATTCCTTCCCTACCTTCCTCTGAGTCAGTGTCCTTCTTTTTAGTTGCTGGTGGGTTCTTCGCTGCTGACAAAGGCTCTTTTCTTTTGGAGCTCTCGGTAGAGACCTCCATCTTAGCATCATCGTGGTCTTCAATCTCCGAGCTACTGCGGGCTGAAGAGAGCTTCTTCTTCGTCTTCATGCTGCAGTTTCCGGAGCACTTTATGGTTAGAGCGTCAGTATGGTGTATTAGAGATTCATACGATCACATAGAATTGAGTTGGATGGTAAAGTATGCAGACGAAGCTAACAGAAAACATGCTGCACCCGGTCCGCCATCTTGGGGTGCATCCGAATTGTCCCTCCTATCTCCTTTCACTATCCACTTTACCTTAACCTCGGAAGCAGTTAAGTGGCGGCCATGATAAGAGCCGTTCGAATTCTCTCAAAGTTAAGGAAAGATGGGTCAATGCTCCCTTTATAACCTCCTTTAGCATAGGATACACTGGACCATCATTTACGAAAGGAGATGAGATATGCTGCCCCACAATTCCTTGCGGCCGCAACATTTAAAGCGACTCGCGCATCCGACCATTCACCAACATTAACGATGATCGTAAAGTGACACAGATCATGAAAGAGATAAAAAGATAAGAGACATTTTTATCAGATGATGTTTTATTCAACATTCATTCAATTCGGAATGTTTTGTGCATTTCTTCAGTTGTACATTCTTGTCTTGCATACATGTAACAATTAATTTCATATTTATTTTGATGTTGATTTCTGAGTGGAAGGTTTCACTTTTGTTACTTATACCCTGGTAGTCTATATTTCTTTTATTTCAATCCCAACCTTGTAGTAATTAGATTATTTCACCGGTAAGAAGGCACAGGGGAAAGTTTTTTAGATGCGTTTTTAGTAGTCCATTTTCGGAACATTGTAGTTTTTTTGTCATTGATTAAAAGAAGTGATTTAATAGGGAACTTGAATTCTAAATGAAAAATTGAAAACTTTGTCAGTGACTTTGAGAATTTCTGTTTGTGACTGAAAAACTTTGCATATAGTATAATGAAGTTTATGACATTTTAGAGAGCTATATTTTCCTTATTATCATAGTAATAAACAACGTCTTTCAGGTTTAGAGAATAAACACAATTAGCAGCCGGAAAAAAATGAGATTGGATGTCTTTCCAGAATCTTTTGGATAATTCACATTCAAAAAAAGGTGGGAAATTGTTTCTGTATCGGTTTTGCAAAAAGTGCACTCAGCCTCAATATCTGTAAACTTAGCAATAAGGCAGTTAACAGGATACATTTTATGTGGTATTTTGAAGTGTACCTCTTTAGCTTTGTTTGTGATACAGTATCTATAAGGTAAAAGCCAGGCCCTCCTCCAGTTTATGTTCTCAAGCTTAGATCTCCAGTTGGAACCAATTTATTATTTCTTTGAAATATCCGGCGAACATGCTTATTGTTACATTTTTTTATCTGTCAGATTAAGTCCATCTAGTAGCATGTCATTAGCACCGTAGGTTAAGTGGTTTTTAACCAGTTGAATCAATCCTTGTGTTTGGAATAGCACAAGTTAATGAATTACATTTTCTGAAGGGGATTGGAAAGTTATGTACTGACATAAACATTTCATAAGACAACATGTTGCCAGAATCCTCAAAGAGATTGTAAATATATAGAATCTTTATTATCATTGTATACAAGGACACAACAAAACTTTGTTAGCAGCAATCTTCAACAGCAGCGTTTACAAAAACAACAAAAATATATTTGTGGTGATATGAGAGAGAAGTATGCAAAAAGTGGCCAGGGAAATTGCTGTTCAGTGAATGAATGATAATAATAATAAATAAATAGACAGTTGTGGGGACTGAAAGAGTATATACAGTTATTATTTTTGCAGTGACTGATTAATTAAACAAATATAAATATATAGATATAGTGAAAATAAGTGAAGTTATAGTGCAGTGACAGAGTATATACAGTTATTATTGTGCAGTGACTGAATAAATGAATAAATAAATAAATAGACAGTTAAAGTTAAAGTGCAGTGGCTGAGTAAATAAACAGACAATCATAAAGCAGTGAATTACAAAGTTATTAAACAAGTAATATTGAACAGTTTGCAGCAGTTAGGTAATTATTGCACATTGTATTCCCGTCTTTTTATGTGGGGGGGGAGTGTTTTGTCCACAGCTCTGGGATAGAAGCTGTTTTGTAGTCTGTTTGTCCGTGTGCGGATGGTCCTGAGTCTGCCTGAGGGAAGGGTGGTGAACATACAGTGTGTGTACAGGGTGAGATGTGTCTCTCCGGATGTTTGAGGCTCGCTTGTGGAGACCGCCTGAGTGGGTGTCTCTGAGGGATGGGAGAGGGGAGCCAACAATCCACTGAGCTGTTTTGACAATCCGCTGAAGATTCTTCTTTTCTGCTGCAGTGCAGCTCGAGTACCAGACAGTACAGCCGTACGTCAGGATGCTCTCGATTGTGCAGCAGTAAAAGTTCTTCAGCAGATCGCGAGGGAGTCTGTTGCACCTCAGGGTCCACAGGAAAAAGAGGCGTTGCTGTGCCTTCTTTATCATGTGTGCTGTGTTGAGGCTCCAGCTCAGGTCCTCTGAGATGTGCACTCCCAGGAACTTAAAGCTCCACCTCTTCCTGGTTTATGTGCAGACTGTTGTGGGGTGTTTTTTGTTTTTTCCTGTAGTCAATTATTACTTCCTTGGTTTTCTTCGTGTTGAGGTGCAGGTTGTTGTTTTTACACCACCCAGAGAACGTTTGTACCTCCTCTCTGGAGGCCGCCTCATTGTTGTTGGAGATCAGTCCTACAATGGTGGTGTCGACTGCAAATATGAAGGTGTTGGAGCTGTGGGTGGGTGTGCAGTCGTGGGTGTACAGGGAGTAGAGGATAGGACTGAGGACGCAGCCCTGGGGTACACCAGTGTTGAGGATGATGGTGGAGGAGATGTTGTCTCCCAGCCTGACAAGGCGGGTCGCCTTCTGGCCCACCAACTAAAGGCCAGATTGGCTTCCAACCAGATCACCCAGACACGAGACGAGTCAGGCTCTCTAACCTCTGACCCAGATAAGATAAACAACATATTTAGGTCATTTTATTCTAAGCTGTATACCTCCGAGTCCCGTAACGATGAAAGTCAGTTATGTCATTTCTTTGATAAATTAATTTTACCAAAAGTTTTGCCGAATGATAGTCAGACATTAGATGCCCCTTTAACACTCTTTGAAATCAAAGAGGCCATTTGTTCAATGCGCAGTGGCAAATCACCAGGCCCTGACGGGTATCCTGTGGAGTTTTTTTAACGGTTTTCTGACCTGCTTGCTCCACTCCTACTCGGAATGTTTAACCAATCATGCCACCAGGGCACCTTGCCACCCATGCTCATGCAAGCTTCTATATCTCTCATTCACAAGAAAGACAAGGACCCAGCAAGCTGTGCATCCTATCGCCCAATTTCACTCCTTTCTGTTGACGTTAAAATTCTAGCTAAGGTCCTAGCCTGTCATCTGGAGGCTATTATGCCCACAGTAATCTCAGAAGATCAGACAGGATTCATAAAGGGGACGCACTCTTTTTCTAATGTCAGAAGGCTTCTCGACATCATTCACACCCCGTCCTCTTCTACTGAGCCTGAGGCTGTAATAACTCTCAATGCCGAGAAGGCCTTCGATAGGGTGGAGTGGGCTTATCTCTTTTTCACTTTGCAACGATTCGGTTTTAGTGCCAGCTTCATCTCCTGGATTAAGCTACTCTACTCCTCCCCCTACGCATCTGTGTGTACAAACACACAGCGTTCAAGACCTTTTCCTCTTTTTCGCGGCACTAGGCAAGGCTGTCCGCTCTCTCCGCTGTTGTTCGCCCTCGCCATTGAGCCGTTATCAGTTGCTTTAAAGTCGCTATCCTTTCGCTCCTGAACACTTTTGGTGTTATTTCTGGATATAAATTAAATATTTTGAAAAGTGAATGGCTTCCGATTAATCAACTGGCCGCAGAAATGTCACCGTCATCCATACCATTTAAAATATCTAACACAGGAATAAAGTACCTAGGAAAAAAATGAAAAAAATGTCACTGCTTTAACTGCTGCAGTCAAATCAGATCTACAGAGGTGGAACTGTTTGCCACTATCTCTGGCGGGAAGGGTACAGACTGTAAAAATGAACGTGCTACCCAGATATTTGTATTTATTTCAATGTCTCCCCATATTTCTCTCTAAGTCCTTTTTAAAAATTTATTAACAACATTATTTCTTCTTTTATTTGGGCTGGTAAGCGTGCGAGAACGGGTAAAATTTTACTCCAGAGGAGCAGGTCAGTGGGTGGGCTTGGGCTACCTAATTTTATCAGCTACTATTGGGCAGCCAATGTTCACAAAATTATACTTTGGTTTTATGTCACCCCAGTGCAGCTGGTGCCGATTAGAGGCTGACTCCTGCTCCTCTTCTCTCCCATCTCTGGTGTGTGGCACCCTTCCCCTCTCTCCCTCTAGCTTCGCGTCTAATACTGTGGTAATAGGCACACTTAAAATATGGTCACAAATTAGACGACACTTTGGGTGGCTCTCCCTCCCTAAAGCGCCGCCCATCTGTAATAATCACCTTTTTATACCAGCTAGGATTGACCCACGATTTGCATCTTTGGAGAGGAATGGCCTGCGCTGTCTGGGTGACTTATACGTTAATGATGTTTTTGCCAGTTTCGACCAATTACGTTCTGCATTCCATTTAAATGAAGGCCTGACGTCCGGTTGAGTGTACGCTGGCGCGTTTAGCTGCCGCTGCTCTCCGGTTCCTCTGACTGTTTTTGCTGATCTACGGCCCTTTTTGCATTTGTTGTATTCTTCCCTGGACATACTTCCAAATGATCAGATTACCCGGTGAGTTAATTTGGATTGGTAGCCTATTAGCTTACCTGTTGCGTGCAGGGCTCCCACTCCTCACCTGGGCTGCTTCTGCTGCCGGAGCCCTTATCCAGTCCATCATCGGCAACAATGTGGATTAATAAAATGTTTGTATGGTCCGTGCTCGTCTGGACTGCCCTGTCCTTGGTCTTCAACCCAACGGCAGCGGTACTCCATTACACAGCCGCTGAGCTCCTGCAACTACGCTTCCACCTGTCTGATCCTCGACCGGCTTTGCATCTCTACCTGGACATCGCTCGTCATGCCCGTCGGAAATATATCCACCGTGGTTCCCGACGGGGCTTTCAAATTGATGACTCCACACCAATACAATCCATCTGGTCCTCATCTCGCCAACCCCGAAGAAACTCCAGCCGGAAAGTTGACCACACTGTCCTAGCCAGCCTAGCCAGGTCAGCTAACGTCAGGTTCAAAGACGACCACAACGATGTCAACTTCGGATTATTCAACACTCGCTCTCTTACCAGCAAAGGTCCTCTCCTCCAGGAGCTCCTGGTTGACCGTAAGATTGATTTTTTGTGTTTAACCGAAACATGGC